TTTTTTTCCTTTGGACAGTGCAGTTGTGCCTTTCACCCCACTACATCACTCGGCGACTTCCTTCGGTTCCTACTATGTTTGTCTACGAGCAGCCGTTCGATAATAATAACCCCCGTCGGGAGAAATGCCAGTTTGGGAATGATGTTTTTTCTTGCCCATATCGGGCCGTAGGGTGGGCGGTTTAGGTTGGCAGGCTCGAAAGATGGGGGGAGGCGGCCCCATAATATCCATCCAGGGCTATGGTGTTAGACCAGCCCGGATGGCCTCACTTCAGTTACAGACAATTCTAGCCGGGCGACCCGATCCCCCCTAGTTCGATACCCAGCCGATTCAAAAGAAGGGTGGGGGGGGGAGGGGGGTCGGCGAGTTTCCACGAGTGGTTCAGCATTATGGGTCGGACTTGGGGACCAGATGAAGTCATAGGCTTCACGAGTCCTACCAATCCGTACGACTACTTCGTAATCCATGGCCATGGATCCAAAACATCCGTATGTGGAGTCCGGCAGTGGGCGGGAGAGGTTCGCTTAGGTTGCGTTACCCCTGAGTCTTTTTTCCGGGCTGTCTTGGCTTCTCGTATTCACTCTCGCCTGCCTCGGTTATCCACTGCGCCTAGCGCACAGCCGCCCGTCGAACTACACAGTACATACAAGTAAGGGGTGGCGCACCTCGGGACCTGGGAATAACTAGGTATTGAGCGACACGAGTGTTTACCATTCTCACAAGGAGCCCGTGTCGTGTTCTTACTACGGGTGGATCTGAGTACCTAGCAAAACTGTACGAAATTCTAGACAAATACTGAAAGAAGGGCCGATCCGGCTTCCATTTCCGTAAGCCACCTAACCATTCCCTTATTGCGACCGTCTTGTACAAGAAATTCCACATTGCCGACTGCAAATAGGTCCGGGAGAGGATGCTTTATGATCTCCCTGAGGCGGGCTTGGGCCCTGCCGCGCAGTATCGCCGGGTGTGCCTGTTAGGGCCTCCAAATGGAACGCACATCCTGAATGTTGAGCAGGACTTGTAGACTTGGGCACTTTGATAGCGAGACGGCGTGTGCAAACCGCATCATCTCCTCTCGAGGAATCATATCGGCGCCGTCCAGCACCAAACTTCGGAGATGGTTACAACATTTGATCAGACTAATAAGCAGGTCGCTTCTTGGCCATGAACCTGTCGCACAGTTAATACCCAACACTTTGAGGGCCCGGAAGTTCCCCATGTCGACCAAAGATGCCGCATCCAGCCTTGAACCATTGAGTCCCAAAGTTACCAACGTCCCGGCAACCTGGGAGCGGGAGAGAGGCCCCAAAATTTCTGCGCCCAAGTGCGGTGACGGCGGCCCGACGCCACGCTTTCTCTCGCGCAATACGTAAAACCGTTTAAGCCGTGGAGCTTGGCGAGTCATGACCTCAAGATCGCTTCCCGAAACGTAGTGCGTATCAATCAAGGCAAAGGATGCCAGCTGAGGCGAGAGAATGAGCCCTCCCTCGAGAACACCGAAACCACTCAGCTCGAGAGAGGTCAATTCGGAGCGGCGGCGAGCAAGCAAGCAATGGCATCTCGGCATCTGCAGCCCTCCCGCAGCGACGATTCAGCCCAGGAGTGGCTCCATATCCGAAAACTGGCTAGGTTGGGGAACACCACCTTGGGCACAAAAGTGCCGTCAGACAACCTCCGAGCAAGGTCGTGGTCCACCTCCCACCCGCAATGCATGTACATGTCGACTGATGTTACGTTTGGCGCCATGGGCAACAGAAGGAAGAGAGGGACGGCGCTCTCCCGGTACCACTGCGCCATGGTAGACGGTATGGGTGGTGATGCCTCCGCCAGGTCTATGCCGAGGTGCTGTTTGAGAGCCGCCGACAAACAGGTACGGCTCTCATCGACACTCCCCCGAATTAAGTCGAGCCGTGGTATGTAGGTATTCTCGAGCGTAATCTTAGCTTGTTGATCACCTCTGACCACGAGCCGCGCCTTAACCTTAATCAAATACCCGCGTTTGTCCAATTTGTAGGTATATACCCACATGCAATCGAGGACTTGTGTGTTCTTGGTGAGGCTCCGGTGGCACTTCTCGAAAGACTTCATCTCGCGATGGCTCTGCATATGAGCTTCCATACCCTCAACGAACCACTTAGCCAGCGGATGTTTCTTGAGCTCTTTATAGCCATTTGGCGGTGGTGGAAGATCTCTTCTGTCGTATTTTCCGTTAGCAGAAGTCTGAACCATAGGAGTAGATTCCTTAGCAATCATGATTCCGGCTTCGTGGCGAGCCAGCTGCCGACGCTTCCTTGACGAGATTCGGCAATAGTCAAGCTCCTTGCGCAATGTGTGCTTATCCACAGCCTGTCCGTCAAGAATAGCGATCTTCGCTGCATGACGCCCTCCGCTGAACGCAGCTTGCCAAGTGTTGATAGCGCGAGTGTCCGCATCTATCCTAAGCTCTTCAATTGGCGCGTACACGCTGCCAAATAATCCTGCTGTAGGATTCTTCCCTTCTTGGGGCATCTCACCAGCTTAGATGTTTTCAAGCGTGAGTGAGGTAAATCCTGCTTTAGGATTCTTCCCTTCTTGGGCATCCCACCAGCTTGGAACTCTTCAAGCGTGAGTGAGATAAATCCCGCTTTAGGATTCTTCCCTTCTTGGGGCATCTCACCAGCTTGGAGTTCTTCAAGCGTGAGTGAGGAGAAGGCTGCTTCAAAGAGCGCCGTTGGCGGAGGAGGAGTGTTCCCAGGTGTTAGTAGCGGATCCAGGATCGCGGAAGAGTACTGATCAAATTCCTTTTCTTGAACTTCTTCTTCCGGATCCGGCGCTTCCTGCATTTCCTCGACGCCGGAATCATGATGCTCCGTGTCACGGATATGCCAAGGTGGAACCAAGAAAGGAATGAGGAAGCCCCAGGCCAATCGCTAAACAAACCAATCAGGGAACCCACATGAGAGGCTCAGTGAGCTCAGTTGGAGGGTACAACTTGTCAGAATATCGGGGTGGAGGCTTCGGATATGAAGTAAACGGGGCATGTTTAGCTTAACCACCACCCCTCATCTCGACGGGTAAAACCCGGACGGGACCCACATGTCGGGATCCAGGCAAGACACGAAAGAACAACAATGAGAGGAGCATCGCAACAAGCGCTGAAACAACCATACTTGATTGTCTGATTGGACTAGTGAATCCCCGTATTCTGACACAACTGAGCACACTGAGCACCTTTGCAGGAGCCAGCCAATCATGACCCAGGATGGGAGAAGTAGCTCAGTGAGCTCAGTTGGAGGGCGCAACTGAGCACACTGAGCACACCGGACTTAGATATGTATATAGTCACTCCTTCTGGAGAACTCTGGGAGTTCTCCAGTTAGCAATCACAGCTACAGTTTGCTACAAGCTCGGAAGCCTACTGTTGAGACAAGTCTTTGTTGTGCACCTTTTGGCTGCACCGAACCTAAGCACCCTTGAGAGATTACCTTCAACCGAAGCTGAACCCTAACAGGACAGGGTCCTGAAGTAGGTTCGTCACACTCCGACATCTTATCAGAGTCTTCGTGCTCTGACATCTTATCAAAGTCTTCACCCCCCACAACGATACAGTCAAGAATTGTCTCCTCATCTTCTTCTTGTGTGGTAAGGTCGTCGCTGGCCATCCGATTCTCGGCGCTCAGCGGTGGTAGAGAACACTCTTTAAGAAGTGCCTCCATTTCTTCGTTGGTAATGCTCAAAAGGTCGTCCTTGAACTGCTCCAAGCTTCCAGAAATAGTTCATCTTCGTTGAAGCTCACATCGCGCACTCGGACGATATCGTTCGTCTTAGGGCTCCAAATCCGATAGATATTCGTCGATTCGTAGCCCACAAGATAGCCAATCCACGCGTTGGGTCTTAGCTTGAACAACCTTTCTTTCTTGAGCATAGCCTCGGTCGTCATGACGTATGCGCGGCAACCGTAGTTCCGAAGGTGTGCAAGCTGGGGTTTCCGCTCTGGATTGGGAATTCCGTCTCTTGTAGCCAGAAAGGTGTGGAATACCTCGTATGGGGATCTCCAGTCTTGTCTCTTTTTCGGCGTTCGGTTGTAAAGATACACCGCAGCCTTGTAGATCTCAACCCACAGTATTTCTGGCAGACGAGCCGCAGCGCGCATAGCTTTGGCTTTCAGCTTAATCACACCCCCTGAGCGTTCTGCGCCTCCATTTTGAGCTTGCGTATTTGGCGCACAACGCTCAATCCGCATACCCTTGGACTTCCAGAAACTTTCCAGAGCTTTGGATCGCATCAACTCGTCGTCGCACTCAATAACTTTGATCTGTAGACCAAACTGGCGTTCCATGGTCTTGAGAAAGTGGTTGATCGCAGCCATAAGAGTGAGCGTCTTTCGTTCGGTAAGATAGAGGTCAAAGACATATCCACTCTTCCGATCCGTAAAAGGCATAACAGAGTTGAAACCCTTCTGACTCTTGGCTAGGTCGAGGAAGTCGATTGCGAATCGCTCCCCGACCTTGTGAGGTTCTTTGCGTAGCTGACGGCGGATCTTGCGCTTTGCTTTCGCTTCGCCACACGCAGGGCATTCATAACTGGCTGGTCCTCGCAACCTGGCTCTGGTTGTTGATACTTGTAGATGGGCGAGTGCCGCAGCACCTGGGTGGCCAAGACGGCCATGCCATAGCTTGCCGGTGCCGTCGCTCGTTGGTCGGCCGGTCCAGCTTGTCTTCCGATCCGTGTGGAACGCTGCGTGAGCGTGGAATGCTGAATGTGCTTCGAAAGGAACGTCTTCGATCACGAATTGGCCATATTGATCGGATAACTCGCAGAGGACTGAACCATCCTTTCTTCGGAGGCAGTTGTTTGGTGGATTGTTGTCCCAATAGAAACCCTTGTGAAGCTGGGGTAACGATACCAAGTTGCAAGCAAAGCCTTCACAATAGGCTACGTCTTCGAGTAGGAATCACCGAGAACCTTACTTGGCCTTAATCTTGATTATGACTTCTCCGTAGCCAAGGATCGGTACTTCGGTGTCGCCAGCGTAGACAAAATCTTCTGCCGGTGCCTGTCGAAGGTTCCTGAACCGTCTGGGGTTGTTGAAGATGTGGATCGTCGTACCGGAGTCCACAATCGCGGAGTTTCGAAGAGGGTAGGTGCTGGCGCTCAGAGCTGCTTTGGATCGTAAAAGTCGTGCTTTGGTACGTTTGTTGCGGATAGGTTTGGTTAGTGCGGCGATGAGCGCTGCCTCGGATTTGAAGACGGCGGTTAGTCACAACATCTTCCGACTTTCGCGCGCCTTTTTGACCTTCTCGGCGAGCTGCTTGTCGAATTCCAACATCTTTGCTACCCTATCTTCAATCACAACGCTCTTGCTGTCTTCGAACCAATCTGGGGTTTCTTCGTCTGCTGAATAGGTATAATAGCACTTGTTGAGCTTGTGGCCGTGTTGCAAGCAGACTTCGCAGCGGTCTCCATTTGATCGAGTCTTCTTCGATGGCCGTGATGGCGAGTTTTCTTTCGTATCTCGTGACTGCCTGACTTCCTGGTGCTCTTCCTTGCTCTGGCGACCTCGTCGGCGACGACGTTCTTTCGCAGACTCCTCCGTCTTGTCGGCATCCTTACCGTGGAGGACCGGAAAGCCAGCTTCGATTCTTCCACGCTTCCTGTTGTCCTTGATCTTTCCGCCAATCGCTGACTGCATTCGGGCAGCCACTTGGTTGTGTGAGAAGTTTCCTTCGAGGATGTCTTCTTCCAGGATTGCTAGCTCGTCCATGGCCCAGGTCTTTCCATCTCTAATCTCCTTCAAGGCGTCCGTGAGGTCATCGTACCACGAGCTAGGCGTAGCTATCTGTGGTATCTTTTGCTCGATCCCTTCGCTGACCAGGTTTTGCCAACGAATAGCCCAATCTCCTAGCCTGCGTTCGAAGTTCTTGATCTGATTCAGATGGCTCGAATATTCTGATCCGAGGTCCCTGTTAATCGTCCGCTTGAACGGAAGCCACTGCTCCTTGAGTGCTTGATAGATGCCTGGTATATCCTTGCCCTTCGTGATGTGACGATAGTTCGGACCGATGCTCTTGAGGATCCAATCGTGGAATTTGGATCTAGCAGCAGTCTTGGCGTAGTAGGTGCCCTTGGTTTCCTTGTAGAGTTCGAAAGCTGCCTTCCAATCCGTCTGACCGATAGCAGTGAGATGTGAGAATTGAGTGGTCTTGGGCGTGTCGGTTTCTGAATCCTCCTCTTCTTCGTGATCGCTTGTGGATGGTGTTTGGTCATCGTCTGCATTGCTGGATTCGATTTGTGATCTTCCGGCAGTTTGGGATCTTCCGGATGTACCGGTTCTGGCAGCAGCGGCACGCCTTCGAGCGGCGTTTCGATTGACGTCTTCGGTACCAGCTCCGCCCGTTTCCGGTGAATCGTCGTTGTTGTTGGAGCTTCGAGCCGTACGGCGGGGCTGCTTCTTCTGAAAGTCGTCGAATTGAGGTATGACTGGCTCGGTTGGCCAGGGCTTTCTCAGTTTGCGATTTGGATGGACGTAGTCAAGGATCCCAGCGTGCTTAGCTTTCTCCTCATAGGCTTCACTCCACTCATCCCAGTCGCTAGGCTTGTTGAACTTGGTGTACTCGTAGTCCGAACCTGTGGGCATAATGGCGGTTGGAATGGTCGAAATGGTGAAAATGATAGGATCTGATTGGTCGAAAATCTCGAATAAAAGGGTCTGACTGTCGTATCCGATGAACTTTTTGGTGTAACGCAACGGCTTGTGATCCTTGTGCGGAATCTGACTGTTGATTGTTGGAAACGACACTCAGACGGAAAGATCGGGGAGAAAAGAATTGATTGATTGTTCTGTCTTCCTCCTCAGTGCCGGGCATCGCCCTGACCTCCTTTTTATGCTTCTTGTTCAGCCCCTGGAATCCCTTTTGCATTAACTAGCGCATCGGCAGTCGAGATTCCGTGTTTCAATTGCCACAACTTCCAACACAAGTATCCGCAAGAAGGTTCCATGTGACGAATCCAACAGCTTTATCCTAAATCTTTCCTTTGTCTTCTTGAGTTAACCCGAGTCTTTGTGCTGTCAAAATTCTATGAAACTGTTTCCGGGAGTCATGACTGTTTCCGGGAGTCATGACTGTTTCCGGGAGTCATGACTGTTTCCGGTGCTATGGCTGTTCAACAGCTGGTATCTGCTAGAAAGTCCTATGTGGTTAATCCAACAGATATCTTCTCAATTCCAGCGATGGCGGCGGACTGCGAGAGAGCCTTCAGTCTGGCAAAGCTTACTCTTACTAGCCAGAGACTCGCAATGGACCTAAAGACCCTCCAGATGGTTCAATGTTTGAAGAATTAGGTTCGTCGTGACGCAGTTACCCTCGCGGCGTTTAGTTCAAGATAGCGGTGTCTGCCGACGAGGCCGCTGATCTTTAACGGCCGTTGGCGAGGGGGACATGACAGGCATCGCTCGCTTTTGGAGAGGTGTATAAGCAGTAGGGTTGCTAGCAGGCCTCGCAAAATCTCAAGTATGTCAAGCAAGTCGCAAGTATTTCCAATCAAGCAATCATACCCTTGTGATATTCAAGCAAGCCAAGTTTCGGTGCGAAAATTGACTTGATTAACTCGTGAGCAGCGCTGGAAGTAATAAAGGCTGCCATGGCTCCACATTGAGTACCTAGGCAACTAGGCAAAGCTACCTACCTTAGGTCATCGTTTGGTGCTCATCTGGGTGTTCCGAGCACAAGAAAGTGAGAAACTGAACAAACACAATCTGCCTCTGAAATCATTGAACAAGGAATACTGAATAGGGTATGCCAAGTACATATCTCGGCGCTCTTTGATGATGCTACTAACTACCTACCGAGGTATGTCATCTTCAATATCAAATTATGAGGTGATGAGCAAGCAGGTGTGGATTGCATTATAGTGCCTCGGGCTTCCTGCCCAGGACAGAGAAACAAATACCAAACTGGTAAAAACAATTAATACTAAAGCAAAAAAGGAGAGAGAGGCTAACCACTCTCCCCTTCCCATTGAGCCAATCGGTGGTACTTGAAGTGAGAAGAGTTGGGATGAGTTGGTACCTGTTCAACGATCGATATTCTGGTGCCACTTAGGTACCTACCTAAGTATCACGAAACTCAAAGAATGGAGGAGCCATATCTTTCAACAAAATATCACAAGAACAGCAGGTGGTATGACTTTTGGCAACATCAGGACAACCCAAGCTAAGGAACCAAGTTCTTCTCACTAACAAACAACCAAGCCGGCAACAAATGCTGAAGCTATTGAATGGCCCCACGGGCCCGGCTGGAATGGCGAACGATAAGAACGAGGCACTACTCGGCGACGGGCAGGCGATGGATCATGAGGGGAAGATTACCTATCATTACTTTTGTTTAATAAAACAAACCAAACAAAACAATAGTCTACACGCTCGCCTCTCGCGGCTAAGTACCCTAAACCAGACCCCATCCCTCCACACCCCCTCCCTCCCCCGTCTCAGACTCTCTCCCACCCAAACACCACCCATCCAAACACCACCCTCCCAAACCAACAAGCCAACTAGTCCCCAACCACCAACCGCCAACTACCAACTCCCTCTCCAGCCACTATCCATCCATGTCCGCAAAAGGCCCCCGCTCCTCCAGCGCCGGAACGCCCACCACCTCGACGCCGGCGCGGCGCATCCGCACCACGTTGAAGTCGCCCCACAGGTGCCGGTGCAATTCTGTGTTGGCACGCGCGGGGAACGCGCACCAGCGTGCGATCTCGAGCCTGATTTTGGTGAGGCGCGGCCTGTGGGTTGGTTGGGGGAGGGGGGTTAGTGGGGGCTTTTTGGTTTGGGGGGTGGGTTTGTTTGGGATCCATGGATGGGGGAGGGAGTGCAGAGGTGGGGGGTGAGAAGTTGGGAACATACCACTTGAACAACTTGATCATGGCGTAGGTAAAGGTCCCGAACTCCTCCGTCGGGAACCCGTCCAACCCCATGATAGATAACCCCTCAAGGAGGGGGCAGTCCCACAGCAACCGGCACAGCGCCCTGTGGTCGATCTGGTTGGCGAGGGCCCGGTGGTCGATGGCCACTTGCTTGAGCGCGACAAAATTGGGCAACCGTACGAGTAACTCATACGGTCTCCCTTGAAGCTGCGATGGGTCGGCAAGCCATGGCGCGAGGTGGAGCTTCTCCAAGGTCCCGCTGTACGGGAGGAGACATTCGACAATTTGGGCGGGTGAAGCCGGCAAGTAGGTCTCTGGCCAGCCGTGGGGATAGTTGGTGAATTCGAAGTGCGTCAGGTCGCCGCATTTCCGGACCACATGCCGCAGGCCGCGATAGCAGAGGAAAGAGTGGATCAGGCGCAGGCAGGTGACGTTGGGGCGGCGGCCGGTAAGCGAGGTCCCTCCTCGTGGTCTCTCGATGGTAATCGACTGTAAGTTTTTGGCGCAATAGAACAAACCGTTCAGGCTGTGGAGGTTGATGCCGTCGGCCCATCCGGTCCCCTCGGTCACGGGGAAACGAACGATCAGGTTCTGGAGGCTGGGAAGGATGCATGTGGGCTTGGGGCCGGTGACCCGGTTGTCGACCTTGTGTAAGAGGAAGTTGGTGTTCCCCCACCTGCGTGCCATGGTGATCTCGAGCGTGGTGAGGTTGGGGATGAGGCAGACTATTGCCATGGTCTTGACAGGCGCGGAAACGCTGTTCCCCTGGAAGGTGACCATACCAAAGAGGCGCTGGATCACGCGATGGAAGTCCCAGATGATCTCCTGGCTGTAGGGGGCCGCCTGTGGGCCCTCGTACGAGGCTGCGAACTCGATGGACCTGATGGCCGTGCGAAGCTTCGGGTATGCCAAGAGGGTGGCTGCCAGCGCGAGGTCCCTCCGAGGCTGGGGCTGACCGTCCCTCAAGTGGGTGTACAGCATTGGAAGTGCGATGAAGTTGAGGACCCGATTGGTCCGGCCTAGTCGGGCAAGGCTGCTTCTATCGTCAGCCAATTCTTCGCAGACCTTGGTGAGAATTTCGATCGGCAGCCTGTGTAGAAAGCATGGTGGTGGCGGTGGCTCCTCCGAGGTAAAACGCGACCAGCTATGCCCGGCTGTGAACGAGCTTAGGTCGTTCTGTTGGTCTAGGTCCATGGTCGCGTCGAACAACGGGTTCGGCGGGCCGTGGGAGAAGGGTTGCATGGGTTTAGTATGTATGAAGGAGCAGTGAATAAGTGTGCGAGGGAGGGAGGGTGGATCTTTGAAATATGTGAATCAACACGTTTGTTCGAGGTCGCGGAACAGAGAGGAAAATCAACATGGTAATTTTTGAAGTAAACAAGTTGGTGGGTAATGATAGCACGGCCCACACTCTCCCATCCGTGAACTCAGAATTTAACAGTAAGAATTGATATTGTTGCTACGGAGTAACAAAACACAATAAAGCGCGAAAATTTACAAGTTTTTGAGCACTGGAAAGACCAACTTGACTTCGGAGGGAAAGATGACCAGTGGAAATTCCCCCAACCTCAACCAGTGCACGGCACCCAGCGGTCAGACAGACGAAAAGAGGTGGGAACCCAAGGAAAATATGTCACGAATAACGAGTATGGCAGTGGAAGAGTTCTTACGCGTCTAGATGGCACAGATGACACGCCAAAAGGTTTGATGATAACCCTGGAGACCAAAACACTCCCATGCTATCTTCCAGCCCACCACATCATCCATGCTGCATAGCGTGCGGCCTTCCAAATCCATATGTTCCGGGATAGTAGACTCTGGTTGGCTGCTGTGGTGGCCTTCGGTGGTTAACATCACATTGTTTACACCTTGGCCAGCAGTTATTCCTGTCTTTTTTCCCCCGATCTGGCTCCTCTTTTGCCCACGAAACACAATGCCACACAGCGCTCTCACCTTTTTGCCTTAATAAGAATTAGCCTCAGTGAATGTCGAATATTCCAAAGTCAGAAACAGAAGTAGGGAGGTACACGTCAACCAAAGCTTGAGTGGGTAGTGAGAGCATATGGACATCCATCAAATACGGTCTCGTCACCCTGCCTTCACAAGTCCATGACTGATGTGACACCATATTTGATGCTCTCCATGCCTTTCTTTTTGACTTTGTAGGCTTTAATCACGCCATTGTTAACAAAGCACTTTTTTTAAACGTAGATTTGTCATGTTTAGACGTGGATCATGATTGAGGTTGACCAATCTAGGAGTTGAGCCATGGCCTTGGAAAACATCACAACCTATTCTAGATGTGAATGATAGTAGAGGACCATGATGGGGTTTTCCCTGCTGTCGGTTGCTGCAGCCTCGTTAGTCGATAACCGCTTAGTCCCGATGCTTCTGGTATCAGTCGTCCCCTTCTCACGTCAGCATCGTTGAAGAACCAGTGTTCTCCCACTTGCCAAGCGGATGACAGAACGAGTACCATTCACAAAAAGACAATTGGTCGACCAAGGTCAGCCCTGTGAGATTGCGATCTCGTGTGCATGCCATTAACGGCCTATTAAGGACAGGGATGGCAGGGAATGCAAGGCGGCACTGCCGCAACCGTGCATCCAACATGGACATGTTGGGCTGTTGGTGATAAGCTGATGAAATGCAGCCCCTTAATGCGATGATGCGCTCCCGCGTCCCATCACCCGTGTGACGGCTGTTGGCCTCGCATGGGATAAGATCTGCATCTGGGCGGAAACGTCCTGGACTCCGCCTCCCGGGGCCCCGAGGAACCAACCACGCCGCAGCCGAGTCCCAAGAGGAGGGTAGCACAGAGAGACAAACACATTGGGATCCGGGTATTTGGCGAATGAGACGTGGGGGGCAGAAACCTCGGCGTGAGATGACGCCTCAGAGGGCGGCCGGTGACCGGTCCCGTCTGATGTGGCTCAAGGGACATCCCGGGTTCGGGATCCGGGTATATAAGTGCATCGTCGCCGCCGATGTATTAGTGTCCATTCCCCTTCGCTTCCAGTCTTCATTTCATCTCGACCCATCAAATCCATCGGCATGGCATCGACCAATGGGCCCTTGAATGGTGTTCACACCTCTGGTGATATCAAGAAGTCCAGCGAAGATGAGCAACTAGTAATCCCGCCCAACTTTAAGGCCACCGTGATAGAGCGTATCGGTATCAGCGCCTTCAAGCTGCTCAACAAAGTTATACCTTGGTACAAGCTTCCCGGTGTTCTCGGTGCTTTTAACCTGGCCTTCCTGAGGATCGAGCTCCGACAATACAATCTGCATGACGGCTACGCCTCTGCGGAAGCCCAGGGCAACGCGACGGACAACCCACTGTCGGATGCGCGTTACCGGGGAGCCCGCAACTCCGATGGCAAGTTCAACTCACTCGATCAGCCCCTGATGGGCTGCAAAGGCATGCGCTTTGGACGCAACTTTCCACGACACCTGACCCAAAAACCGACTGAGGAGGAGTTGTGGACGCCGAATCCACGGCATGGATTCAGCGAGAAGGTTCATTGGCCCGGCGCGAGGGGGAAGGATGAATCCCCGCTACAACGCTCAACAAATGCTAGCCTGCCGGCTTGGATTCCAAGTTTCCAAATTCCATGGACTGGGTTTCAACCAATGTGCAGGTGAGTTTATTCTTGCGCGCCCCCAGTAGATGACGAGACTAATGCGGGTCAGAGCGAGGAGAAGTTCAACGTACCTGCTCCGGAGGGCGGGGACTCGTGGCCCCATCCGCATATGGAGGTGTTCCGAACGAAGCCAGACGACATCCTGGATCCATCCGATATCAAGTGCCCGGGTTACAAGAACGAGAACACGGCTTGGTGGGATGGATCGCAGATCTATGGCTCGAGCGAGGCCGTTACCCAAGCTCTGCGTGCCAAGCTGCCAAACGGCAAACTGACGCTTGATGAAATCGGCGCTGTTTCGTTTTTACCGCGAGATAAGGATGGCAATCCCCTTACCGGCTTCCACGATAACTGGTGGATCGGCATGGAGATGTTACACACCCTTTTCGCGCTGGAGCACAATGCGATCTGCGACGCCTTGAAAACGGCATACCCGGATATGACGGGGTAGGTCATCTTCCATCCTTGAGGTGATCTTTGCTAAGATGCCTCCAGCGACCAGATCTTTGACAAAGCCCGCCTCGTCAACTGTGCCCTGATGGCCAAGATCCACACCGTGGAGTGGACGCCAGCCATCCTCGCGCACCCAGCGCTCGAATTCGGGATGAACGCCAACTGGTGGGGCGTTGTGGGCGAGAAGTTGACCAAGATGCTCGGCCGCATATCCAAGACCAGCGAGATCATCAGCGGCATTCCGGGTAGCGGCGCCGAGCAGGACGGGGTTCCGTACTCGCTGACGGAGGAGTTTGTTTCCGTGTACAGGATGCACTCGCTGATCCCAGGTACGGTGTCCTGTTCTTGACCGCCCAACCTACTAAAAGTTCACCGCTGACATGTGCGCATTCAGACGACATCGCCTTCCACTCGGCCACCACCGGCGAGCACATCCGGACCATCCCCGTCGCCGACATGACCTTCTCCAGTAAGTTTTGTATCCCCCTCTCCCCTCCCCCCTCCAACCCACTCTCCCTCCACAACCACAAAACTAACCACCCCCCTCCTCCCCAAACAGAAGCACAACTCCCCCTCCGCCAACCCACCCCCCACCGCCTCACCTTCCCCGACGCCTTTTACACCTTCGGCACCTCGCACCCAGGCGCCATCACCGCGCACAACTACCCCTCCTTCCTGCGCGCGCTGCCCACGCCCGACGGCCAGACGCGCGACCTGGGCACGATCGACATCCTGCGAGACCGCGAGCGCGGCGTGCCGCGCTACTGCGCCTTCCGCCGCCTGCTGCGCATGTCGGTCCCCCAGACGTTTGAGGAGTTGACGGGCGGGGATGTGGACAGCGCGCGGGAGTTGAGCGAGGCGTATGGGGGGAGGATTGAGCTAGTGGATGCGTTGGTGGGTTCGCATGCCGAGCCGGTGATTGAGGGGTTTGGGTTTTCGGAGACGGCGTTTAGGGTGTTTATTGTGATGGCGTCGAGAAGGTTGAAGAGTGATCGGTTTATTGCGGGCGGGGAAGGCGGGGAGTGGGGGGAGGGGACGTATACTAAGGTTGGGTTTAGGTGGGTGCAGGATGGGGGGATGCGGGATGTGTTGGGGAGGCATTTTCCCGAGTTGAGGGAGACGTTGGAGAGGGGGAAGGGGAAGAATGTCTTTGCGCCGTGGGTGAAGGTGGGAGAGCGTTGATTGTGGGGAGGGTTCATGTTGACGCGGACCGAAGATGGTATTGTGAACGTGGTTGAATGCGTTTCTTTTCGTGTGGTAATAGTTTGGCATCTAATAACTACATACCTATTCATACTGTACAGTAATTGCACAGTATACAAAGTTAGGGCTAGAATCAAGTTTAGCCCCATTTGCATCTTATCATTCTGAAGCCGATGAGGTTATCACCGATCCCCCACCCCCATTCGGAGCTGAGCTCAGGCCCCTTGCATCCAGCAAACCACAGCCAGGCACCAGGAACCACAGCAGTTAATTGCGTGCGATCAACACCGGGGTTCTCCATCTTGGCAATCCACCGTCTGAATCACCACCTTCCCCTTTAGGCTCTACAACATCAGTGCCATGGCCAGCCACTTCTTGACCTGCCGTGCCCGGGTGAATAACCGGGCTTCCAATACGGGCAGGAGATGTAGATGGGTAAATAAAGTTGACCCCAGATCATCCGTGGCACCCGTGTCTCACCAACTTCCCCTCACCCCCTCACGCTGCAAAGGGGATCGCCATGATGCGACGATTTCTCTCACTTTGCGTCGCTGCCGCGTTGGCAACTGCCATTGAACCTCCCCGGTTCCCACATCAACCCTCCGGAAATGGCACGAAACTGTTGACATACAACATCACCACCGGTAGCCCCGGGGAGCTCTCCTCGTCCACCACGTCGGTCACATGGATCAACTCTGGTCAGGACGGCGACTTCATCACTCGCGGGGAGGACGGGTCCTTTGTGTTCGAGAATGTTGTGAGCGGAAACAAGACGACGTTCTTATCCGCCGATAAAATCCCCGCCGACTTTTGGGACTACCAGATCTCGTCCGACTATTCCAAGATCCTCTGGGCTGTTAATTACACCAAACAATACCGACACTCGTACTTTGCCAACTACCTGGTGCAGGATGTGGCCACGGGAGAGGTCGAGTCGCTGGTCAAAGACTCCGAGGGCGACATCCAGTACGCCACTTGGAATCCCGTGTCCTCGTCTGAGATCGCCTTCGTCCGGGGGAACAACCTCTTCATTTGGGCACAGGGCACGATCAGCCAGATCACGGACAATGGGAGTCCGGACATGTTCAATGCCATCCCAGACTGGGTGTACGAAGAGGAGATCTTCGGCACCAACAACGCCCTGTGGTACTCACCCGACGGAGAATACATTGCCTACCTGAGCTTCAACGAGACGGGCGTCCAAACCTACACCATCCCGTACTACATGGACAACCAGAAGGTGGCCCCGTCGTACCCTCGCGAGTTAGAGCTGCGTTACCCCAAGGTCGGGACCAAGAACCCCACCGTGGCTCTCAGCTTGCTCGAGGTGAAGGCCAAGGCGGTCTCCTCGGTGACGATCGACGCCTGGCCGGTCGACGACCTCATCATTGGCGAGGTTGCATGGGTTACGGATGCCCATGACAAGCTCATCTACCGTGCGTTCAACCGCGTGCAGGACCACGAGAAGCTCGTGACTGTCGATGCCGACACCAAGGAGTCCACCATCGCCCGGGAGCGTGATGGCTCGGATGGCTGGCTTGACAACAACATCGCAATCACCTACATCGGCGAGGTCGAGCGTGACTCCGGCCACGGCAAGCGCCAGGACAGTAAGGGGAAGGGCAAGGGTAAAGGCAAGGGCAAGGGCAAGGGCCACGATGAGCCCGAGACGGACGATCCCAAGGCCCGCTACTACCTCGACCTCTCCGACGCCTCCGGCTGGAACCACCTGTACCTCTTCGCCCTCGACGGCAGCTCCAACATCACGCTGACCTCCGGCGAGTGGGAAGTCGCCTCCATCCTCAAAGTCGACACGACCCGTGGCCTAGTCTACTACACCTCCACCGAAAACCACCCCACCGAACGGCACCTCTTCTCCGTCTCCTACCTCACCGGCACCAAAACCCCCCTCGTCGACCCCACCACCCCGGCCGTCTGGACCGCCTCCTTCTCCTCCTCCGGCGGCTACTACATCCTGCGCTACGCCGGCCCGGACGTGCCCTACCAAGAGCTCTACGCCACTTCGGACCCGACCACCCCGCTCCGCACCATCAACGCCAACACGCGCCTGCACACCGCCCTCCAATCCTACCGCCTCCCCAACATCACCTACCTCGACCTGCCCCACCCCTCGGGCACCCACACCCTCAGCGCCATGCTCCGCCTGCCCGCCACCTTCGACCCGACCAAAAAGTACCCCCTGCTCCTCACCCCCTACGGCGGGCCCGGCGCGCAGGAAGTCACCAAGGCGATGCAGCCGTTCGACTGGAACGCGTACATCGCATCGGACCCGGAGCTGGAGTACATCACGCTGACGGTGGACGGGCGGGGGACGGGGTATCGGGGGCGGGCGTTCCGGGCGGCGGTGGCGGGGCGGCTGGGGACGCTGGAGGCGGAGGATCAGATCTGGGCGGCGAAGTGGCTGGCGGCGGAGTATGGGTGGGTGGATGGGGAGAGGATGGGGATTTGGGGGTGGAGTTATGGCGGGTATTTGACGGCCAAGGTGGTCGAGGTGGGGGATGAGGCGATTGCGTTTGGGTTGGCCACGGCGCCGGTGGCCGATTGGCGGTTTTATGATACCATGTATACCGAGAGGTATATGAAGACGCCGGAGTTGAATGGGGAGGGGTATAATGTGTCGGCGGTGAGGCGGGTGGAGGGGTTTAAGGGGTTGAGGGGAAAGTTGTTGGTGCAGCATGGGACGGGGGATGATAATGTGCATTTGCAGAATAGTGTGGCGCTGGGGGGATTTGTTGATGGGCGCGGGCGTTGGGCCAGAGAAGTTGGATGTGACGTACTTTACGGACTCGGACCACAGCATTCGGTACAACGGGGCAGAATGCGTTTGTGTATAAGCAGTTGACGGGGAGGCTGTGGGCGGAGAAGAGGCGGGTGCCGGGGGATAGGCATCAATGGAGCAAGAAGAGGGGCATGCCGTGGAAGGGGTGAGGGCGGTGGAGGTAATATAGTAGCGAATTGTACTCGAGTTCGGCCATCCCGGCGGTCTTGAAATATGTTGCGGTATCTGTGAACCCTGGCATGGCAAGTGGGTAATGTACGAACATGTCTACTTCCGTTTTCCCTTTCCATGACTTGTTGGTCTCTTTTTACCGCCCCCTTCCGTCTCACCCCGAGTGGCCTGTCGGAAAGGTACCTAGTAACGTCGACGAGGAAAAATGGCCCTCCGGTTCAGGCCTGGTTTGCATCTTTCGGATCCGGACCTCCACGACGGGAAATGGCGCGATATCAACTCGCCATGTGTCGTCCGGGTCAGCTATTGCCTTCTTAAACAACACCTCAAATCGTCCATCGGCGAGGTTTGACTCGTGAGACCAAGTGAAGCCATAACTGCTTAGCGAATCTCTCGTTTTTGGACTGTCGCGTAACGTGGGCACCAAGGAAACCGACAGCGAAGCTTCTGTAATGTCGTGGTCAAAAACAACCCCGAATCCCAAGGGGGACTCGCTGTGGCCCGAGGCGAGCCGGAAGTGGAGGGCCCATAATCTTCCAAAGGCCCCTCCTTGTGGCATACTGATGATACCCTCGTGAAGAATCATGTGAACATCGCGATGGTGAGTTACCCAGCGGTCCTCGTGGGACACAGCATTGCCCCAGCGGCGGAGCAGGGCATCCCCCGGTTGCGGCCCTGGATGCCGCCGGGATTCTAGTCGTAGTTGCTGCGTCATGTTTGCGAGCTGGTTCAGATCAAGGGCTTCGTGTGGGAAATACATCAATTCATCTGTCCGGCTCCACCGTATGTGGCCCCATGAATAGAGTGGGACAAGAATGAGAGGATTATCGCCAGTCCCGGACTCGCAAAGCAAAACGGCAAAGGCCAGCTAACGTGGCTGGGTCACCTTGAGGCGCGGCCAATGGAAAGCGAACAGATCAGAGATAGGCAAAAGCGGAAGCTCCATAATAGCGCATAGGCCGGCCATAGTCGGGTAGGGCACCTTCCGTGTTGCTAAAGGAAGGACGTCGTAGAAGTAGTGTGTTGCGTACGATGGCCTGTAATGAGACGAATGCTCGAAGCTCTTGGGGGATTCGGCAAGGATACCGGTGAAAAGAGTGGCTGCTTGGCTTGCTTCCCAAGGGATCGATTCGGGAGAGTCGGGCGCCTCGAGCAACGAGCCATTTGTGATTTGACTCATCGGCCGGTCAACAATGCGACCCCAGGCAAAGAGTGTATGGTCTGTAGGGTTTTAGGGTTTGCCTTCATAATCTCTTCCTGTAGCCTGTGAAAAGCCTTTTTCCCTTCGCCGTAAAGCAGCGGCATGTTGATGTCGAAGATGCCAAGAAGGCAGTAGGCGAGGTCTTCTGTTCTGGATGTCTTGCGTCTTGCAGCCCAGGACATCCTCTTGGACAAACTCGCTGTTTCCAACGAGGCATGACCACAAAGATACTTGATCTCGATGCCCGTAATCTCACTCAGAGAGTCACGTAGTCCAGATCGTGTGCCGACTCGATTCCAGTCGCTGGAATACAGCACCATGTCCCTCGGAGCTAGTAGCTCCTGCAACGTCCAACCTCGTGTGAACCAACGAGCGCCAGAAAGCTGAGCGTGAAGCACCTTAGAGTCAGAGCCTGCGTGGGCCTCAACATCTGAAAGGTAAGCGTAGCAGAGAGCGGCATCTTGGTACCAGCGGAACATGGAATTGATCGCCTCTGATAGCTCAGCACTACTTCGTTTGTCGATACAACAACTATCCCGCGTGTTAGTGTTCCGTCCCGTAAGATACCTTGCCACTGATAAATACTTCCGGGGGAAAATAGAGGATTTTGCTAAGTACTTACGTGTCGATCCAAACCCAATCATAGCCATCAGCTATCGCCTGTCGGCAACAGCCTTTCGATCTTTGTGTATCCTTTCTTTTCCGCAAGCGCCTCTTTCGGAGAGGGATTGAGAAGTCCTCAAATGTGACTTCATCTTCTGCCCAGAGTGTGGAGACAGAATGAGCATAGGAGTTTTATATCCAAGTCTGACAAAAACTCCCGGATTTCCTTCGTTTGTACGTTGAGCAGTCTCATGGCTGTTTCCGTCGTCTAAAGCTGCCCGCAGAGAATTGTTCGAATGTTGAGTTGGCTGAGGAAAGGTTTGTGCGGCGTTTCAACCCCGATACTCGTGCGATTTGGGCGGGGTTGATGCCCCGAGCTGAACCCATCGAGCGCTCACTCAGCCTTGGGCCCCCCCGGTACGCAGAAAGCAGTCTAAGTAGGCTGAAGCCTAATTCCGAACCGCGCGCTAGGCCCACCAATTGTTGGCCACCGATCCGTGAAGGTTCGCTGTTCTTCCGAGAGGCGAGGCTACCCGTGGTTTCTAACAATACCTCCCTCTGGGCAATACGAAACCCCGAAGCACAAGGTTAGCTTCTCTGTCGAGTCGGGCAAGGCGGTCTTGGCCTCTATTTAAATAATTTCTCCTTCTCTCGGCCCCACTTTCCCTTTTCCACTCCTCTGGTGGAGTTTTCTTTTTCTCCCTTCTTTCGCTACTGTCCCCTCAGCAGTGTAGCACCCCCAGAGAAAAGCCCACACCCCTCTCCTCCTCAACTCAACAGGCGAAGCCCGGACAACCTCTTCCTACGCTTCACTCCTCACCCTACAGACCACACCGACCCCACCCGGCGCTACGTAGACGAGACGGAACGCTTGTACGGATTTCTCGCTGTCACGAATATGTCAACAGGTGGAGCCTCGGGGCGCGGACACCCCGAGCCAGTCGTCCCGAGGACCAATCAGGGAAGGCTGGGGTGTGCTCAGTGTGATCAGGGAAACGGGGAACAAAGGGAAACCAAGCACACTGAGCATAGAAGCCATACAGCCAATCAGAACACAGGAAGGACTAAAAGTGATCAGTGTGATCCGTGACGCCGAACTCCGGAGGAGACTGAGCACACTGAGCACATAGGACTTAGATAGGTATATAGTCACTCGTTCTGGAGAGCTCTGGGAGTTCTCCAGTTAGCAATCACAACTACAGTTCGCTACAAGCTCGGAAAGCCTACTATTTGAGACAAGCCTTTGTTGTGCACCTTTTTGGGCTGCACCGAACCTAAGCACCCTTGAGAGATTACCTTCAACCGAAGCTGAAACCCTAACAGGACAGGGTCCTGAAGTAGGTTCGTCACACTCGCGGGAACCCTCGCCGACATGAGCCAGGTCAGCGTGGTTAACGTCTCCCAGTTCAGCAGCAGCGGGGTCTCCAGCGCCTGTTTTTCCAACGAGCAGACGCGGTTTGAGAGGCTGTTTGCGCGGTCAGCGGCGAAAAGTGGGCTAGGGCTATGAACATCTCTAGTCGGGACGGTAGGTAGGTAAAGTACTTACGATAACTGTCGGGGAACTTCCAGATGCCACAAGCGCAACGTAAGGAATGTAGTTTTGTTGCATCGACAGACTCAGTCCTGGCATCCGGTATATTTCTCTCAGCACTCCGAAATTAGGCTGATTTAATTGCATCCGAGCTCGTGGAATCTTCCGTTAAAGCTTCGAGGATAGCCTCCTCGGAGTCCTCGCGAACGCGTTCGGTGAAATTTTCGGTGGCGCCTTTCGTAGGCCTGCCGGTCCTTGGGCCATTGACGACATGTTCTTCCTTGATAGGGCCCCCGACGCAATATCCTCTCTCCCTGGCCCGGCGAAGGAGAGCCTTGAATGCCTGCTTTTTAATACCTGTTATATTCTCAATCTCAGGTGTTTTTGCCCCCTTGCTGTGAAGTGTTAGGGCCTGCACCCGTTCAACGAGAGTCGACTCCTTGCGGGGGATGGTAGCCATTGTGGGTGGGTATGTGGATCAGAGTCTGTTGGCAAAAGATTAACTAGGGGTTGATTTCCAATTAAAACAACTGACGGCCTACTTCAACACCATAAAATAGTACCACGGATCTAGAGCCACTGGGGAAAAAATGGCGTACAAAAGGCTGCCAAAAAGGTTGCGGGGTTGAGTCAGGTTCGTTTGGCTTCAAGATGTGCGGGGCACGCAGGTGCTTCTCGTTGTCAGAATATCGGGATGGAGGCTTCGGATAGTTATGAAGTAAACAGGGCATGTTTAGCTTAACCACCACCCCTCATCTCGACGGGTAAAACCCGGACGGGACCCACATGTCGGGATCCAGGCAAGACACGAAAAACCAACAACGAGAGGAGCATCGCAACAAGCGCTGAAACAACCATACTTGATTGCCTGATTGGGCTAGTGAATCCCGTATTCTGACACCCGTTGGCAGGGACAGTGGAAATACTTTTGAACTCAAAACTCAGCCCTCGTACCACTTCGCATCCAAGTGCCTGCCTAAGATTGCAACCGAATCAAGGCCTTTCATCATGTCCAATGTACAAGCGGGTACACAGACCTTTTTCGTCGAGTCCTTGTGTCCGTCGCGGTGCCTATGTAACGTCGATTGTGATCTTCGGACCCTCCAACCGTCCAACATTGGCTGAGTTGAATGGCATTTCGGACGGGGCCAGCAGTAGACAGTCACTGACCAAACCGTGTGGTTTGGAGTCCAAGAACTGAAGAGGAGTGGCCTCTAGTGAAAAAGAAAAACTGGGATAAGTTTAACACAAGGGAAGGAACCATCAACATGCGACTTCTCCCATCAATCAAGCCGCACTTCTAGGCAGCCGGTCCTTTGATTCAAGCGTTAATCCGAGCGCTACCTTATGTACCATAACTCGAAACGCGCCACATTCGACTGTTTCCTGCCAATCTTCCCAAGCATGGCTTCCAGTTGCTATCGTTATTACCGAAGTCCAGTCTCCCATGCCTCTGAATCGGCCCCACTGACCGGAACATCTCTCTTAACGACCGCGAGCTGCCGACAGCGATCGTGCCTCATCCCGATACCAGCGTCTCCGTCCATCCCCACATCGTGGGTTTTCGCGTGCCATAATGCCGCGTCCGGTCATGTGTGGTTGGGGCCGGCCCGGCCGCCCCTTAGGAAAAGCCCCCACGCCCCTGTCGATTCTTCAACTGCCTCGAAGTGTCACGGAATGACCCCGAGGTGGCCAGGGCGGCCACAGCCGACAGCGCAGGACGCCGGCAGCCAATCGCTTAAGGACCAATAAGAACTGGATTATCACTAGTTGTCAGTGATAATGGACGATTATCACTGGTTGTCAATGATAATGGGCGATTATCACCAACAGAGTGGTGATACTAGATAGTATATAGTCACTCGTACTGGAGAGCTCTGGGAGTTCTCCAGTTAGCAATCACAACTACAGTTCGCTACAAGCTCGAAAGCCTACTGTTGAGACAAGTCTTTGTTGTGCACCCTTTGGCTGCACCGAACCTAAGCACCCTCGAAGAGATTACCTTCAACCGAAGCTGAACCCTAACAGGACAGGGTCCTGAAGTAGGTTCGTCACACGAAGTTGCAAGACGGCGGGGAACAAAACGGCGCCTCGGGTCTGGGACATGGTGCCGCGGATCGATGAGGCAGTCGAGAGCGGGGAGGTACTGCGAGTTGTGTACAGTCAAGTACAATCCTTTGTGCAGTGTGCCCGCCTCGCCGTTTAGCCAAATTCCTGGTCATGGCGATCTTCGTTATCCGATTCATGTGAAATGCGACGCGTGAGAGGGGCAGTCTCCAGAAACACTCCGTCGCTTAGCGGTCGGCGCACGCAGCGGCGGTTATCGTAACCGAGATGTGACGAGCATATTTTGAACTTGGACAAGAGCGGGCGCAGGGTCTGGAGACAGGCGCAGAGTATGCCGCAGTTGAGCTCGGTCACGGACCAGAGGGTCAACTCTACGTTGTCCCATGTCGGGTCGCGGGCTACGGGAACGGCGCCGAGGTAAGATAGTCGAATGACGGAAATAGTCCAGGTACTAGCGTTCGGTTCGATCTGGTTAGAAGCGACGACAGAGCGCAGCTCAACGGAGCAGAATTAGACTTGGGACACGTACAAGAAGCCGAGGGAGAAGATGCCAAGGACAAGGAATTTCTCCTTGGTGGGCATTGTCAATTTGTAGACGTAAGGCAGCGGGACGGAAAAAATGAGAAAGTCGGTGAAGACGTTCAAGCTCTGCGAGGCGTACCACACTGGCACTGTGTCGAGGCACTTTCCGGCCATGCTGGGCACGATGACAGCGAGCGGGACGCAGGAGAGCCCTAGCAAGATGGCCTGCACGACAGCCCATACCATAAGGAAAAAGAAGAACCAGCGGCACACTTGGTCGGCGGTCGGGCTGCTGCTGCCAAAAATCCGTCGATATTGGAGAGTGAAAGACATCTTGACGACATTATTTGCGATGTTGTAGTTGATGATCGAAGCGTACAGTGCCTGCACGGGGTTCAAAGCGGTTGGCATGAAATTTGCATCAAAGCGGAAAGAGGACGGCGTACCTTCATCTGCTGCGCCAGCATCTCTGGAGTCACCATCCACGAATGGAGCCCGAGCCCCCATTTTGTCTCTAGACAGCCAACATTAGCACGTTTCCCGGCTTTACTCTCATCGGGACCAACAGGTTGAGTCTAGGTACCTAGGGCAATTGCGACGGACGAAGACACTGCTAGGAACTGTGAGTAAATATGTCAGCCCCGATGTCATGGCCAGGAGCACACAGAAGAGCCCGTCATGCCATACAAATGCACCCAGTATGAACCAGTCGTCAGGCCCCGTCCGTTTGACTATAACGAGCCGTGTGTATAATCGCAACGAAACGGCGATTGCTGAGAGTGCTGGGAAGCCGATTGTGAGGGCCAAGGTCGCCGGCTGCTTCGTTTGGGCCGAGATGGCAGGGTCATGATCCGGAATAGGCGACATGGTGTTGATGGCGCCTCCACCACCTTACACCCTGACAAACAACAAAAAGGCCGGAGGGTTCGCTGGGTGATGCATGGATCATTTGGCCGAGTTTCGATACGTGGGGTCGCGGGGTTAAGCTTTCGGGAGAGATAAAAAAACGCCCGCCGTGACGGAGTTCTCGGAAGTATGTAGTTTTGCCCATCGCCTCTTGGTTCATTTCAGGGATCGCTCACATCGATATTATCGAAAGATCGCCATCCAAAGGGCCCAATGGCATCGCGATTTTCCCCAGGGTCTTCCAAAACTGCGGGGCGCAAAATCCCAATGGTTCCAAAAGCATTCTCGACGCACTGCACTTTTTCCCCTGCTCGCCTGCCCCTAAGAACGCCACAACGCCCCCAGGAGCCCGGGGGTGTTGGACGCCTTTTCCGGCGAATGCGTCGACATGGTTGACATGGAGAGAACCATGCTTTTGCGGAACCCGGGCCCCTTTACCGCCCCATCGCAACTCGAAAAAGGCCAATGGATGATTTGGGTGACCCTGTGCTCTCAGCAAATTTCTGCCAACAGGAGGAGAAAAGAGCAACACCAAGCCGGCTCGACTGGCAAGCGGGAAGTTAAAGTTTAGCGACCAGTTCCCCGAGCTTCTTCGGACGGGGGCTCCTGGCGTATCGGCTGGAGACCGGGCACGTCCCGTATACAGCCCGCCGCTCCTCCTCGGGGCCGCTAGTTAACCGCTCTTACCTTAGAGAGCGTTCAAAATTGGGCATTGGGCGAAGAGAAAAGGCTCGTTGTCGGGACCGAATTTGTAGCTTCCGTAGCTCAACCACAATTTTGGTCGTCATTGAGATGGGCGTGCGCAGCATTGTCTCGACTCTCGACATCCAAAGGTGGCGGCACCGTCCTGCCAAATTCGGCGGCTGCTGCAGCAAAGTTCTCTGCTTGACTTGTAGGCTAGCTATGCTTTTTCGTCGTCTTTTCAACCTAAGGAAGGGAGGTCGTGGGATAATTAGGTAACGCTCAAAAGAATCGCCCACCCGATGATACAAGTTGCTGATGAGAAACACGGTCAACTACGAAGTATGTACAAGTTGCTTGCATTATTCAATCTGTCGTTTATATGAAGAGAAACGACCACTGGGCGCATCTGCAGATCTGGCTTGTCCCCTTGGCACCCCGCCGGCCAGCCCTGGAATTATGTCCAACCGCGAAGTGCTTTCCTCTTTTTGAAGTCACAACCAGCTTCTCGCCGCCATTGCTTAAACAAACTTCGTTGTACCTGTTAATCATACCAAGTCATGCTCCATGTTCAAATGGGTTCAGAGGTACCCCCTCCCCCTCTGAACAACTGAATAATGCACGCAACTTCCATTACCCAACACGCCGAATCCGTGATCCAAACGGCAGCCTGCAGTTTTCTCAGGCTCGACCCCGCCACCCAGAAAGAAAACCACACAGCTCTGCTAGCGTCGCAAAACTTTGTTTTGGTACGGCATGGCGGGGCACCGTCGCCCCTGAGACCCCCAACTGGAAATTCTGTGCCAACACCACAGGCCAGGTGCGCGGCCTACAACCTGTGTGGCAACAACTCCGGAGATTCGGCACCACCAGACCCAAAAACGCGCTCAGGTGGCGAGGCCAGGAGTTGCACCACCTGCCATAACCCTTTTGACCAGTTGCGTGGGTTTAAGGAAGTGGTGCATAACTGGCGTGCGATGACCACCGGCGGAGGCACGGTGAAATCGTTGGAGGTTGGGATATTCGAACTGGTGAATGAAAATGATGGCTACTTACCTAAGGTAGGTAGATACTCTCTCTCCCGGTAGTTAACGGGGTGTCGTTGGTTTTCACAACAACAGACGTCGCACGGGCCTGGAGAGGAAGGTGGTAATAGGACGGCCCCATGTGATTTCGCAGCGCTTGTGGTCGACCGAGAAGACGGTCTGGGACTAGTCAGCGAGTCCGGCGCTCTGGGCTAGTACCCGACAAGCGCATTTGTTCGAGGATCTGTCTCAGCTGCCACCATGGTGAGCCACGTCGTGGGAAACGACAAATGAGGCGGCGGGTTCCAGGGCAAATCTCCATTTTGAGGCGAAATGCCACCAAATTAGCCGTCGCTTTTCTCACCGTCTTCTTTTCCCCGTCTTATTCTCCCCGTCTTACTCGCCCACGTCTATTCGTACCTCCTGCGCTTCCAATCTGCAACAAGCAGGTGGTCAAGTCTACAATACTTGGCGAACGCTTCCATTTCCCCGCACGGCCCCATAACTAACACTAACCCGGGCAGCACCAGCACCGGCAGTGAGGTTCGGCCGCGGTCGAAACAGGGCAAAACCTGGCACGCGGGTACGGTTTACACTATTCGTCCCCTCTCCGGCCACCGAACAGGTGGCGATCTTGGCCGCTCTGGGATTAGATTCGCGGGGGGCTTGGTGCTTGCATCCTCGGGGCACTCGGGGTTGCGGGGGCGAGTTTGCGGGGAAGTGGACTCGGGGACGGCACTGGCGGTGGTCTTTTGCGGGGGAGAACGGGCGCGGGGAAGGTGGGTTTGGAGGGTTTGGAGAAGGGTGCACAAGTTACGTTGATAAGCATTTGGGTATCGCCATGGTGGATTCACGGGGTTGTTGATCGGGGGTTTAAGAGGAGGGGGTACGAACGACCGCCGACGGGTTTGGGCCTGGATGCGCGTTTCGTTTCTTTTTTCTTCCCGCGGCGGTTTGTAATTATCACGCGTCATATTGGACCCAAGTTCTAGCCCCTGAAAGGTTTAAGCTGTCGACAAGATGGGGGCTATCATCGCTGAGGCTGACCGCCCGGGGTCGCAAACCGATGAGAAGATCGACGTTGAGCAGCTCGACAGGACGGGTGTGCCGCCGGCAACGCTCCAGTCCTTTGCCCATTTGGATGAGAAGAAAATCCTGCGGAAGGTGAGCTTGCAGCCGGTGTACCATGCTTTTTCCATTTTCCATGTGATGTTGACATGTCTGCCACAGATGGATATGCGGCTCATTCCGATGCTCGCCCTCCTCTACCTCCTCTCCTTTCTCGACCGTACGATCCTCTCCTCCGATCGGACGGCCCTTGCACTGACAATGGCTAAACAGGCGGGAACATTGGCAATGCAAAAATTGAAGGCTTACAAGAGGATCTCGGCCTCACAGACGACCAGTATAACTGGTGCTTGACGGCATTTTTCTTCACTTATGCTGCCTTCGAAGTGCCGAGCAACCTTATGCTAAAAAGGGTCCGACCTTCCATCTGGCTCCCCGCCATCATGATTGCCTGGGGAATTGTTATGACGCTGATGGGCATTGTGCACAATTATGCCGGTCTCCTCTCGGCGCGCATCTTCCTCGGAGTGACCGAGGCCGGGTTGTTCCCCGGTGTTGCCTATTACTTGACCAACTGGTACAAACGGGAAGAAATCCAGCTCAGACAGGCCATGTTCTTCAGCGCGGCGAGTGTTGCCGGGGCGTTCAGCGGGCTCCTGGCGTTTGCCATTGGGAAGATGGACGGAGTTGGGGGTTTGCATGGGTGGCAGTGGATTTTCATCCTTGAGGGTTGGCTCCCAAATAGTCTCCTCCTTTACCGAAAACGTTGCTAATAATGGTTTGTCGGAAGGAATCGCCACCGTCATCGTAGCCGCCATCGCCTTCTTCGCGCTCTTCGACTTCCCCGAGACAGCCACCTTTCTCACCGAAGAGGAGCGAGCCTTTCGTCATCTACCGGCTCAAATACCAGGGCCAGAGCCAAAACCCAAACGGTACCCAGGTTGCCCAAGCTGACGAGTTTCGGTGGCAGTATGTCAAGGATGCGTTCCTCGACTGGGCAGATTTGGGTCAACATCTTTGTCTACTGGGGCGTAAGCGGCCCCCAACACACCGTGCTTTCCACCCCCTGGGGAATCCTAACACTCATTCACGCACCAGGTCGTCTGCCCCCTGTACGGCATCTCCCTATTCCTCCCAACCATCATCCGGCACCTCGGGTACCAAAGCAGCGAGGCGCAGCTCATGACCGTACCCATCTACATCACCGCGGCCATCCTCGCCGTCGTGGCCGCCGACTTCTCCGACCGGGTGGGCAAGCGCAGCCCCTTCATCGTCGGCTTCCTGCTCGTCATGGCCGTCGGCTTCTCCATGTGCATCGCCACGGACCCCAAGGAACAGCCACGTGTCGTGTACGCCGGCGTGTTCGTCGCCGCCTGCGCCATCTACCCGGCGTTCCCGGGCGTCATCGCCTGGCTGTCCAACAACCTGTCCGGCTCGCTCAAGCGCTCCGTCGGCATGGCCGTGCAGATTGGCGTGGGAAACTTGGGTGGTGTGAGTACCGCATTTGCATCCCTTCCCTCCCGGGCGTGCATGAGAATCCCGTTCATGCTGACTGCGTGACTGACGGCTTGTCGCCCTACCAGGCCATGGCATCCAACTTCTACCGCGCCCGGGACGCTCCCCGGTACCGGTTGGGGCATGGGTTGGAGCTCGGCTTTATTGGCGCGGGCGTTGTTGCGTCGCTGATTTTGGTGGTTGGTTACACGACTGAGAACAAGAAACGGGCGAGGAGGATCGAGGAGGGTGCGCTGGACTCGTACACGCCGCAGGAACTGTCCGAAAAGGGCGATAGGGCGGTCACATATCGTTATGTGCTGTGATGGGCATGCCCGAGTGGTTGGTTAGTAGGGCTTGGGCGTGGTCGGGGAGTACAAATGGCCGGAGTTCGGCGAAGGATGCCTAGGTACCTATGCACGTCGCCCTTTTTCAACGGAAGCCTGGGGGCGAGGCGTGATACCTGTCATGCTAATAGGTTGCTGGCAGGGTGGCATCGAGTCGTCACACCGACGTTTAATGCTACGCAGAATATACTCAAAACTGGCATTGATCTGCCACTTGTTTTCTGAACCAAACTCTCGGGTGTTCTGGAACCTGGTTCTCGGGACCGATGTTGGTTGCCGCGGGTTGCACAAAATAGACAGCACGCTGACTAGATCCCGAAAACTCCGAGGGGATTTCACATGAGGCTTATGCCAAGACTATTGACATCTGGCAACAGGTTGTTCACTAATCTGATGCTGCGAGGCGCTTAGTATGAATAAGGTAGAACGCGGATGAAGGTCGATAGGGATGATGGTTATTCTGGGACGAGACCAAGTCCTTGACTGTCTACGTCTTTTACTCAATACCTAGGTAGTAACTGTAGTCAACTCTTGGACCACAGAAATAGAAGCACAGGCTATGTTGCAATTTTTGGCCGGTATGTTGTCGACGTGATTCTTCAGAGAACAGATACTTCCCAGGGACAGGCGATGGTAGAGACCAAAGGAAATGGCACAACGCCATCCGAGGTTTGGCCCGGGCCAACTATCAGCTAACTATTTCGTAATGCATTGATGCCCGAATCAGGTTATGTTCCTTCACTCTTATTCCCCATGGTTACGGCGCACCGCTTGACGCAGATGAGGCCGGGCTGTTGGCGTGACACGAACAGAGGTCGGGCCTATGCTTACATCCCATGGCTAATTTACGCCCCCAACCTCAGATACTGATATTCCTTTCCGAGGAGGTTGAAGGGCCCCGGCAATCGTCGGTCGGGTCCCACAAGGTGAGAATCCTGCTTGTCATCACAACGACTTCACGGGCACGCAGATACACGGACCCAATCAAATGCCGTATCAACTGTTGAAACTGCCGGTTGTGTCCCAGTTGATGTAATTACCAAACTTGCAAGCATCTCCTAATAGTCAGGCGGTAAGGCTCCAGAGCTTTCAAGAATCTCTCAAGCGTGAGGGAATATGCCGGGGTAGGACCTCTTGGAGTGCCAGAAAGCAGAAGTTATGGTTCACGGAAACCTGTACAGCATCTCCGCATTGACATGTTGCTTTCTGCCTGGTGGTCACGTTGAACTGACAATCCAGCGGCAAGCCGGAGCCTTGTTGGATCGGATGCTCATGGGAGCAAGGCAACTGTTCATCTATAAGAACCATCTCCCCTTCACCATAACCACAGCTTCTCCTACTCAACAACAGCACCTCGCAACAATCAACAGTTTGCTACAGCCAAGCCTTAAAACCATCCTTCAAGTCAACACCAATCCCTCAATACCGCCAAGATGATGTTCAAGGCCACCACCGCCATTGCCCTCGCCGCGGCCCTTGTTTCCAACGCCCAGGCGGCTGCCGTTGACGGCGCCGCTGGCTTCAAGGCTCGCCAGGTCACCTGCCCGACCAGTGGCCAGCACTGTGGCTGGTTCCTCCTGAACAATGGCTGTACGTAGCCCCAATGAATCTAGCAGAACAAGAAAAGAAATTCTGACCCATTTTGTGCAGGCGTCGCCAACCGCGGTGTGCTGGACGCCATCCCCCACAGCGGCACCGACGTGTTCAGGTCCATCTGGGTGGTTGAGGACAGCCAGCCCGTGGCCTGGGTCCAGGATTGCGTGTCCGGTTGCTCTGAAATTGGTGACCGTCCCCAGACCGAGTGCAACTGAGGGAGCCCTGAATCAGGAGGCGGATGGGGGACGAGCCACAAGAAAGTCGTGTGATGCGTTCTGTTCGGTTATTTTCTTTTACTCGCTGGCCAGCGATTCGTCTATTTGGAGGTCATCCGACTACCTAGCCTCGCGGCTTGCAGTCTAGATAAACTCCCCACAATAACAACGCGCGTTTCAAACATGGCGGCTACTGGCCGGTTTCTGCTGCCTGTTCTGCCCCTTGGACCTTGTCCAAACTTGACATCAAATTGCTCCCCACAGCTTCGAGAGAGATTCAGTGCCTGGGAATGAGGAGTTTGGACGGTACGGTGTGGGAGGGTGATCAGTGAGTGGGCACTGAGACACTCGAAGTGCGAGATTACAATATGTTCCTCAGCAAGCGCTAGTCCCAGGTTGAATACAGAGGTAAGGAAACTTTAGCACCGGCGACACCCACATAACCCAACCCCTGTATTAACAGACCGTGACCTAGGAAACCACTTCCCAATCCTCCTCCCCACCCTCATCTCCACGAAGTGTCTTCTCATCCGCATCTGCATGACGGTCCTCCTCACCCTCACCATTATCTTCTTTCCCCTCATCGCCAGACTCCTCCCCCCGAAGCATCTTTCTCTTCAGCATCCGTACCATCTTCCACACGTTCCTGAGATACCCATAGATGCGAAGATTAGCTGCCTTCCTTAACAACAGCACTGCTGTCTGTGATGCCATAAGCCGAAATACGGGGCCTACCTTTTCCTCTTCTTT